ACTAAGAACAATTTTGTTATAAGAAGTCGGAATAAAAGAAAATATAAAATAGTGTACGGCAAACTGAAAATGTGCTGAAGTATATTGTGCCATCAGCTAAAAAGGTTTAAACATATTTGGTCTAAATCAGTGTTGTCCAACCTAATTGAAGACTGTGAGCCACATAATGGTCTACCTAGTTCTTATTAAAAATCTAAAATAGTTGCAAGCTTAAACACAGTAATGAAATTTGTGAAAAATAAAATGATTAGAAATAAGGAAAAACCGCATCAGCAATGTAAAAACTAAGTACACCTTTTGTCCACTATACCCTTATCCGGCTTTTATTTTCGCAACCGTTGGTCACAGATGTATATTTCCAGTTATGAAATTGTTTTAAATAACGCGAAGATTTATGTTTTTGTGTATTTAAATTTAAAGAAATCGATTTTTTAAAAATTACTAAGTCTAATTTTTTATACTTTCCACCAGCCTATCTTTAGAAAATTTTGTACACGTTTTAAAAATGAAACACAAAAAGTTTCATTTCCACACAACAAGAAATAACTGAAATGTTTGATTAAATATTCAGGCCGTTCAGAAACTGAGCGAAATGTTTGAATTTGTACTTAAAATATCTCTGAGAAAACGGTTTGTGATGATAATAAGAGCATTTCTATACAGATTATTGTGAAAAATTTTGATCATCATTATTATTATTCTTTCAAAAAACTGATATTGTTCCCAAAAGATACTGGGCCCACCAGCGGCCGAGCGGTAAAGTCGCTGAACACTGGTAGTTCGGTCCGAGGTTCGAATCCCACAAACGGGCTGGCTGCATGGGCGTTTTCGTGGTTTTCCCCAAGTGTAACGTGTATACGAGCCAGTTAAGAAAAGTCCTCCACGAAGGCATCCCTCTCCTTAGGCAGATAGCCCTAGTGTGATTTGCCATAATTAAATAAACCAAACCAAACCAAACCAAAAAGGTATTGAATTCATGCCCTTGACAACATTAGTGGGCTTTAGTATTAGCGCATAGCCAATTCGTAAAATTATTTTCATTAATAAAAAAGGGGAAAAAGTGTACTTTAGTAATGAATTATAAATTGTGTTTATTAACCGACACCGGAATGCAAATTCAAAATGACGTCGAATATTGCAGATTTTAAAATTTTTTGTCTTATGGGAGTCAAATTTTTCACGTTTTACTTTTTATAAAGAATACTAAATTTTTCTGAACATAACTACAGGTATCGGAAGAACATGTAAAAACTAAGGACTTCGTATTTTATACGGATTTTTTTTTTAAATTTAAAAATACAAAATCATGAATCTTTGCGTCGTTTAAAACACTTTTGTAAGAGGAAGTATATGTCTACAACCAACGGTTACAATAAAAGGCCGGCTAAAGACTTATGGACACGGTACACGGTAATATATAATCATTAGAAGGTTATCAGCCAAAATTATACCAGACCATATAAAAATGTGGTTTGGTTTGCCAAGCGATGCTATCAGTTACAGTAAAGACCTTTAAATGAAAAATTTTTATGAAACTAAAATTATTCGATAACGGTGTAATTTATTTCACCTTTATTCATGACTTAAGGACAATCATATTGTCTGTATTGTAGACAAGGCTTAAAAGAAATAAAAACTTTGGAAACAGAACGAAAAGATACAAGCTTTAAGAATGATGGACGATAAGCAGTTGGCTTGGCATTACTGATAGATAATTATTAAACATCTTATGGATTTAAATGTTAAATTACAGGAAGGAATCATCTCACTAATGAGTTATGCTCATGCAAAGGTTTAGTTTATTTACGAAAGAACCGATGAGTTTTCCAATTCCCTGTTGTCCAACCCGCCTGAGGCAACATATCATGAAAAGTACGTTGAAGTGGTTAAAAATTTTTGGAATGGATTTACAAAGATTTTCGGATTTCGGAACCGCAGTAAGATAAAATAAAATTGCATATACATTTATTTGGAACCTATGTCACTGACATTCTTGAATGTGACAAAAGGGATCGCAGATCATGCTTCACATGGTGACATAGTACGGAAAAATATTTCTCTCAGTTCTTATTCGAATGTCTCAAATCACCTCCTTGTCTCAAATCCTTTTCACTGCATAACAGCCGTTACAGCAGTTTTGAAGAATGAAAATCATTAACGCAAAACCAAGGTGTCTTCTCGAAGTATCTTTTTGGAATTCTGTAGAAAGTCATCAATGGTTTTTGTGGGGGGGGGGATATATTTAGCGATGCGCTTAATGAAGGAAAATAATGCGGAAAATAATTTTATATTACATTAACTTAATCATATAAATGTGTAATTTTTTTATTTTATGGTGCATTTTTTTATGTTTTAGCTTTCATTTTTCGCAGAACATGAAAGCCTTTTGACTCGAAAGTTATATGCCATATTTTTAAGTGTACAATGCGAAAAGGTTCACCATCCATGATGGGAGGGGGATTAATTCTAAATACTAACTGTAATTTTTAGTAGAGCCGTTGAATTAAAAAAAATTTCTCACGCAAATTACTTTATTTGAATTTTGTGTTTATTTAAACGATCCAAAAAGAAACATTTAAAATATTTTTTTAAACTTCGTCATGACTAATTGCGAACTGGAGACTATAACTTTTCTGTTATAAATAAAATAAGCAGATGCAAATTACGTGTTACTCAAAAAATTCACCAAAATAATGCGAATGTCTATCAAATTTAACGTTTATCAATCACAATGTGTAACATTGGCCACACCAATTCTGAACAGATCACTTTTGTAAGAGTGCTGAACAGTTATGCAAGCATATGCTGTTTCTCTCCAGTTAATAAATAAGATGCTCCAGCGTAAATATGTCTCACATTTAAAATGATCAGTTTTTAGCTTTGGAAGGGGGGCTTCGTAAAAATGCCAACATCCTTTATACGATTTCTGAAACGATAAAAAATTAACTGACCTGCATAAGCGTGTTGGCACCGTTATGAAGAAGCATCCTTATGCAAGTAGGGCTTTTATTAATTTTTTTTATTAATAAAACAAACAAAAGGCCTGATAGCATAAGATTGCTGGTATCTTTATGATGATCAGTTAAAATATATCGATATTTTTATACTGGAGCATTATTGTGAAGGTTTCTGTCTTAGGGAATATTGGTTGACATGTGTGACTTATCCAGTATTGGTTGCAACGTTGGATTGCACTTCTAAGCTATGCTGCATTCCAGGGTATTAATTTCTATAGATAATAGGCAATATTGCGTTTAATGTGCTTTAAGATATTTATCGTCCATCACTATAAAAACCTTCAAGGGGGGCACGTGTGCTGTGAACTTGACATTTACAAGCCAAATCCTTTTTGAAACATGCGGCGGCTGAAAAAACACATGCGACGGAAACTTCTGCAAACAAATTCTCCGCCATGAAGAAGCGTTCGCTCACACTCACTATCTTTGATCGTATAACAGTTTTTCACGCCCTGTAATGTGGCCCTTACTTGCCATATATATTTCTTCAATTTCTTCCTATTTCTGATAATGAAAATTAAAGAAATACAGATTCCATCCGCAAAGTTCAGGAAGTAATGCCCTGGCAAAATATGACCTAGTACGCCTTTATATGTCAGTGGGAAGTTCTTCAAAAATATGAGCAATGGTTCTACAGTAAACAAAGTTTTGGAGGCTTTTTAACTTCTAGTGAATCGCAGTATGTCAAAATTGGTATTAATGATTTTGTAACCAGTGCAGAAATGTTTTGATGTTGATGGAAATTATTTTGATTAACTAGGCCTCCCTCTTTATTTTTAACTAGTTGTTTGTTGAACCCTTCGAAAATTTTAAATGTGACAACTCAAAATTACGTCTGTCTGTAAAATATTTAGTTGTTTTTAATCAGTTATTTGGAAATAATTCCAATACCTTCAGAAGTCATTTTTATGATTTACGTATTCTTAAATTAAACAGAAATGATATATTTTACGAAATAAGAATTAGATTGACTTGTTTAATTAAGATAAAGTATGTGAATGAATCATTGGTAAGAATTACATTTTATTGACTGTCTCTAAAAGAAAATTTTGCTGCTCTTAAGTAAAAGTTAGTTATGTTGTTCTCGAAAGACTGGGTTAATTACACAAAATATAATTACTCTTAGGTGTTTGTTTTGTTAATGAAATAATACCAATGATATTTGTTCGTTTGTTTGTAAGCTATATTTATTGTTCCAATAAATTGTTTTTTGATTCGACTGGAATAGCGATTTTAAAAATTATTTTTACAACATTCAAAATGATATTAATAAACATGAAACTTTTCAATTTTGCTTACTTAACTTCCAAATTCTGTTTGGTGCATCTAACCCGAAATATAAGGGGTGCATCGCATTTTGTTTAGCATACATTTATGTTTAAAAAAAGAAGAAGCTCATCCAGAAATAAGTAAGAAAAATGTGATTAAATGCTAACTTTTATCTACAAAATGTGCTCGAAAGTTTATATGTTAATACAACAAATGTTTGTTATTGCTTCTTAATTAATATACATTTTATTGATAAATTATTATTAACATTATTAATTAATATACATGTCATTGTTTCTTAATTAATATACACCAATTTTATAATTCACATGTATAAGTGTGAGCATTTTTTACTCTGCCTTTCAATTGATGGTGCCTAAGTAATGCCACACAGCGCATCGAAAACTTGACATTTCTCTGGCGATAAACACATCCCCATAATTAATCATTAATACTGAATATAATTTGGGTTTACGTGCTAAAAGTATATACTGAACCCGAGGGTCTACGACTCGAGTCCAGTTTGGTGCCTTCTTGCCAACAGGTGGCGACAGTAATACATTTTTTCATCCACTCATCACCTTTCCAGTAAATGATATTATTTACAATTCGTTTGTCACTAAAAAAGAAACATTTTAAAGCAAATATAATACATTACTCTCACGGAATCTTGAAGATTGTTTTTAGAGTGAAATATTACAATTTATTTTTCAGTTTTTACGAGACGAGCTTCAATACGAAAATGGTTATGAACGCCACAAAGAGTTTCATGGGAATGACAAATACATAAATGTAGATGAGCTGTGGCAAGCATGGAAGACATCAGAAGGTAATTCAAGTTATTAACTACAGTTTCGTTCTCTATATTTTAATTAAAAAATTATTTATTGAATAAACTTCCTGCTGGAAATAATGAAAAAAAAAATAGACTGCATAAAAAAAGGCATTTTAAATTTTTTATTTAAATTTAGAAACATATTGGCTAAATTATTACTATTTACTGCCTGCTCTCAGCTAACGGTTAGATATTTCTGTCATTAGAATAATGCATTTTAGGTATTCAATAAATGTAAAATATTTAAATAAATTTATGTATATTTGAACACAGTATTCATTTATCTTGGTGAAATTTCTGTAGATGATAGCAGTGTCAGTGTAATAAATTTTTGATTGATACATTTTATCCTCTTAGTGAGTTTTGTAGTTTTGAATAAAAATAACTGTTCTCATTGTAATGAAATTTACCATAAAATTTCTCAGCCAATTTGAAAAATATTTTGCAACATTTTCTGCATTAGCATAGGTTAGCATTTCCTGAAGTTTATAACTTATTTTATTACTTATAAAGCAGGACATGAATAACTTAAGGCTTATAATCAATTCAGGCATTATTCAACTCTTCTATATAGAAAAATCCAAAACATTTAAGATGATGTTATGAATTCAAGAAACAGATATTCTACAGTGGTGAATATCATGGATTACTGGCTGCAAGCACAATATTTCCTGTTCTGATGAGAAATTTGGAAATTAAAAAACAGTGTTAGTAAGACCTTATGCTGCAATCTTTTTTTGCATAATTCTACATGTATGGAGAAATGCCAATTTCTGAGTATTTGGTATCCACTTATTAATCATTTTTTGAAGTTTTCAAAAACTTAACAAGTTGAAAATTTTCGAATAAAACAAAGCATTATTATGGCTGCAAGCTTCATTTCTTTTTTTATAACCTATGTAAATTATTGCTGGATTTTACAAATTGCATTTTAATTAACGCTGTATAGTAATTAGGGTTCGTACGGTCCTTAAGAGTCCTTAGTTTTTTTTTTTTTTTAGTCGATATTTGGTCTTAAAAGTCCTTACTTTCGTCCGAAATCGGCAGAAGGTCCTTAATTTTAATTATCTGAAAATTCTGCCTGTTTTTACAACTGTAATTTAAAGTGTCAATTACCATTTTGGAGGAATATTTTTGGCTAATCACTGACATATATGCTTATCTTTTGAATGGGTTATAATTTGTTCCTATTTCTAATATAAATGGTGGGATACACGAGTTTCTAAGCAAGAAGTGAGACATAAGCATTTCGAAATTCAATTTTTCTAATGAAGAGCTCTTAAACAATGTGGTGACACAATATGGAAACAACTCTTTGGTGATGTGAATTCTTTTATTTAACGGTTCTGAATTTGGCGACTTATCAACATTATTTTGGCGATTTTAAGATCAGTTTCTATAGAAAATTTTTAATTCCGAGATCTGGGAATTTTTCGACGATTTTTTTTAAAACATTGTAACATTGATAAATTTCGTTAAAATAAGGGTAATATATTGAAATTATATTTAAAAAATAACATTAAAATAAAACATTTTTATTTTTCGCTGTCATATTATAAAGTTCCATTTTGGCAACTTATTATACAATATTTGAATCTGAAAAATAAACGAGGCATAATGCTATAAAGCAAAATTTCTGAAACAGTTCTTATCAAAAGCAGAATTAGCTATGCAATTAATTAAAAATATCTTCTTTTTAATTTTTTCGCAGTAAGAGTTTTTCCCATGTAATTCTCAGAATTCTCAGAATATGCATCAGTTTTCTCTATAAAATTAATTTTACACTCCCCCCTTTTTTTTTCTTTTTAAAAATATTTCTGGCTTTTTGCTATTACAGAATTGGTAGGGTAATTTTTCTTTAGAATTTTACACATTGCAGCTTGGAAAGTTTAGAAGGAATTGAAGGCAAGATTTATAGACTCACGGTTCTAGAAGATTCCAGAAGTATGTGACAAAATGAAAAAATGTCTCCATAGTATTAGCACATAATGGATGTATTTTATTGAAACTTTGCAATGAATTTCTTACTTTGTGGAGAACATCTGGAAGAACAACAAAAACATAATATTTGAATGTTTTACTTCTGATACTAGAATCATTTTATTAATATGTTTACCTTCCCTTTATTTTCTCTACTTTTCACTAGACACAAGCATGGGAAATACCAAAAATACACTGCCCACCAACGGCTGAGCGGTAAAGTCACTGAACACTGGTAGGTTCGGTCCGAGGTTCAAATCTCACGAACGGGCTGGCTGCATGGGAGTTTTCGTGGTTTTCCCCGTATGTTACGTATATACGAGCCAGTTGTTTCCCTTAGAAGTCCTCCACGAAGGCATCCCTCCCTTTAGGAGGCAGATAGCCCTAGTGTGCTTTGCCATAATTAAATACATCACACCACCACCAAAAACACACTGCTCGACATTAAAAATGCAACACCAAGAAGGAGTGGTCAGAAATTTATGCAGATTTTAGAATAGATGCACGTCACTGTGTTATGCGAATGATGTGAAATGCGCAGCTATCTGACACATGTTAAGTAAGATATAAGGGAAGTTGCGTGCAGAATGGGCAATATTCATGTTGTTATTTCTGCCAGATGAATTATCGAAGAAAGTTGGTTTTGGTCCCAGAGGATACGTGTAATAGGAGAGAATGCCAGGCCACCATCAATGAAGGCACTTCCAGCAGATAGACGATTTTACGAGGGGTATGGTGATCGGACTGATAAGGGCGGGTTGGTCCTTACGTCAAATCGTGGCTGATACCCACATGGATGCAAGCACGGTGTATCGGCTATGGCGAACTATGGTTGAAACAAGGAAATGTGGGAAGAAGGAGGGGTGCAGGTGCAGCCAGAGTGACGTCAGCATGCGTGGATCGATGCATCCGCCGACAAGCTGTGGCAGTCCCACAAGTCACTTGTACCATGATTCTGCAGCATGTGCAAGATATCCTGGATCTTACCCATCTCGATGGGAACCATTTCCAGTCGATTGGTTGAACGTAGCCTGCACTCATGGCGTCCGTTAAGAAGACTGCCAGTGACCCCACAGCATAGTCGCCAACGTTTAGAATGGTGCCAGACTGGAGCGATGTGAAAGACAGAATGGCGAAATGTCATGGTCTCAGATGAGTCAGGCTTCTGTTTATCCAGTGACATTTGCCGCATACATGTGTTACGTCGACATGGAGACAGATCTAATCCGGCAGTAACTGTGGAACGCCCCACCGCGCGACAACGTGGCATAATAGTTTGGGAGGCTATTGCCTACGATTCCAGGTCCCCTGTAGTTCGTATTCAGGGCACTATGACGGCCCAACGATACTTTGATGATGTACTGTGGCCGGTGGCAATCCCCTACCTTCAAGGGCTGCTTAATGCAATTTTCAGCAGGATAATGCCCGACCACACAGTGCTCGCATCTGCCAACATGCTCTGCAAGGTATACAGATGCTTCCCTGGCCACCGTACTCTCCCTACCTGTCACCAATCGAACATGTGTGGGATTTGATTGGACGGCGTTTGCAGACTCTGCCCCTGCCTCGTTCAGAAGATGAACTGTGGCAATGGTTGAAAGGGAATGGAGAGTCATCCCTCAGGACACCATCCGCACTCTTATTGACTCTATGCCTTAGAGGTGTTTCTTCGTGCATCGCTGTCCGCGGTGGTCCTACATCCTACTGAGCGGACACCGTTCTCGCTCTGTATTCTGACTATCGTTTTGAAATAAAGATCACTTATTGCTGCTTGCTGTCTCTGTCTTTTTTTCCAAATTTCATCACTTTCTGACAACTCCTTCTTGGTGTTTCATGTCGAGCAGTGAACTCTAATCTTATCATATATGGACAGGCATTATAGAAAGGAATTTTTTTATTAATAAAGAAATTAAAAATTGACAATTTAAAAGATTAGATGTTAGATGAATCTTTAACATCTAATATTTAAATATTAGATGAACCTTTTAATGCTAGATCTGGCTAGCATTAAAAGATTCATCTAATATCTTTTAATGCATCATACTCAGAGCTGGCGCTAGGCATTTTCACACCTGATGCAATCTCTGTGAATCCTAAATTCTGCTGCCTAGTGCCTTTCTAAATTCTATTTCTGATGCCTACTCTAAATTTTAAAAATTTTGACATTTCTAGATTTTGTTATTGGGCTTGTCACTAAATTCTAAAAATTCTGCCACATAAGCTCTAAAAATTCTGATAACCAATCCTTATCATATATATTTCATATTTCTTCTGAATGTTCATATTACTAAAGAAATAAAATTAGCAGCTTTTTCTATACATTCTAAATGCATTTAGTTTTTTTAGACTAATAGAAATCCTTAATTAAATCCAAAAATTCTAAAATGAAAAGGACGTGTTGAAGAAAGAAACTGAATACATAAAGAAAATTATTCTTCAAAGATATGTGCAGTAATTATTATGTAAATTACCCAGTTGTTTATGATTTCAACCTTTACTTTAATTACCTATTTCTATTTTTTCATACGATAGAGTTACTGAACCAGCTTAAATTAAAAGTTAATTGCATAGTCTTTGACCACTAGCAGGGCTTAATTTCTAAGATTAGAAGTGCCGGAGCCCTATGGAAGACCGTCAGCAAAGAGGAACAAGAGTAAATAAATAAATAAAATGACTATTGAATCGACTTTAATTAAATAGTTAATTACTATCAAATTAATTAATAGCTATTTAATTAATGTTTATAAATTGTTATTTAATCAGTAATTATTGTATAATTGATTATAATTTAATTGATGATTATTAGATAATTATTATTTATTGAAATAATTAAAGATTGAAGTAATTAAATAATTAAAAATTATATAAAATGTAAAGAGATAAATTGAAATTTAATAAGCAATTTTTAATATAATTTTATTGTTAAAATAAAATTTTAGAGATAAAATTTCTACTTAAATTGTTATTCAGTTACGTAAGTAAAGTGCCGCAGCCTTCTAATTTAGGGCTCCAGT